TGAGGGTAGGCAGGTTTAGAAATAGCCAAAAACTTTGAGGCATACCTAGATTAATGATAGCTCTCGAGAGCCATCAGCAGCAGCGGCGTTCCCCATTACAAGAAGTATTGGGCCCTCCTATATACACCAATTCACTCACCCCTTTATATCAGTACACCCCCTTATTTCCTTCAGTGACTCAAAATAGAAACAAAAGAAAGCTGCCTAAAGCATGTTCAATGAATAATAATAATAATAATAAATACAATCTTAGAAATCAATCAAATAGATGACTAGAAAACTAAATTGAATTGTTTAATGATACAAGCATGAAAATATTAAAATGGTAATAATATTAGAAATTATAATGAAAATGACCCTTTCAGTGTATATGAAAAAAAAAACATTTCCTTCAGATAAAAAATCGAAGTGTACTCTTGAGATTTCTTTGCCCGAATATTTAACCTATTAGTACAGCCAGAGTACTAATAGGTGACTAGTACCTCTATATTATTGGAATATACAAAAAAAAATGAAAAATTATAAATATATATCAACTTCAATAAAAGTAATCACAGAAGTTATTGGGAGTTCAAGCGTTCTTTCAAGTATTTGTTAACAAAGAACCCCACTTATAACACTGAAATAAAATACATCAAACTAAAATTAAATAAAAATACTCAAGACGTTCTTAAATAAATAAAAAACGGTGGCATGATTATCCAAATAAATTAATTCAACTTTTCAGCCACACTCGTCAATATTCAATGTATATACGAAATATATATAATCACAGTTTACATCATCCAACACTTAAGACCCTCCTACATTTGCCACCACGCGATTTGTAAACAATCGATACCATAGCTAGCTTTGGTGGGGAAATCTGATTATCAGAATAATAAAAGTAGCCTTCGGGTGCACATGAATGAAGAAGAGAATTGAGGGATCTGAAAGTCGTTCAACACTTCTAACTTGCCCGTGTTTTCTGCGTCAGTATCACCACAACGTATGAGATTTCAAAGCTATCATGGTCGGCTGAATACCGCATAAGCCCACTTCAACCCACGTGAGAAAAGGTCAGATGAGCCTCGTCTACTGCTTTTGATTCTGCAGAAATGTCGTTAGTAGTTCTTAAAGGGTTGATGATTCTCACTGATGACTGTTTTCCGAAAGCATCTTCTTCAAGCCGTCCAGAAGCTGGTGTATAAGGAACGGTGGGTTCATCAAAATCGCCGTCTGCCGCTGGAGGGTGGGCAAAATTGGTGAAAGGTGTGGCAGGAAGATGTCCATAACTAGGAACCCTACTTAAAGATAAATTGGATGAACACTCAAATGAGTTTAGTCTTTTTGTATTTGTTAATACGAAGCGCATATAAATGATACTGATTACTATAATAAAAATTGTTACAGATGAAGTGATGATCACGATCGTGATCAGTACCCAATGATGCAGCGTCAAGGCATAGCTGAAGTCGCTGTCGACACCCACCGCAATGAGGGCTGTGTGGTAGTCCCCTTGGGAAAGTGCGCTGATGATCTCCCTCGGTTTCCATGGGTGCTTCGTCATTATCATCCCGCTTTGCATTGCCTGGCCGTAGACCAAAAGGCCCGACATTTCCCCAACAGCATCCCTAACGGGCTCAAACCGTGTGAGCTCCACCTTAGTAAGGTACATATGGCGATATAGCGCCGCTTCCGCGTTGGCCCTGACGGTGTCTTTAAAAGTGGTGAAATCTCCCTCCACCTCCCTCTCCCAGCCACTCGCGTTGGGGGAGAAGTAAAGAATAAAGCGAACCGTGACAGTGCTCAGGACCGGGAATGGCTTGGGAGGATTGGGGTTGGGGGGCAAATGGGCATGAAGGATGACAGGCAACCACAGATGGGGACGTAATTCC